ATTTACATGCACAGTTCTTACAGTGGAAGGAAAGATGCTCCATTCTATGAGCCTTCACCATGGACCTATGGCTTTGTGCTACTTCTTAAGGGAATCATTGTGCGATATTTGCTTTTTTTCTTTTTAATAACCCAGACTGTTATTGTTATTGCTGCTGTAGCTGCTAAAGAGCTCTAGGGGGAGATGCAGAAATAGTCTATTCCCTTGTGTAATGCCTGAAATCAAACCAGAATATATCTGCCTGACGCTACGTGCCTGTTATTGCTTTAAAGCTGGTTATTAAAAACAAACAAAAACAGTTGCTGTGCCACACAAGATTCCACCTCCTCCAAAATGGGAGGGCAATTTAATCCACTAGTGAAATGCACCTATTAGAATCAGGACTTCTTCACTATGTTATGACTCAGGCAAGTCAAGATAACCACATGTATTTATATCCTAAATTCGTTGGGATATAAGAAATACAAAGAGTTGCCAGCTCAAGTGAATCCCACTTGTTCAGGCAGTTCTGTATCTGTGCTGTTTGCACTGAAGAATGGTGCTTTTTACAGAACATAACAGAGCACAAAGACATCAGTGACACAGGTCAGTAGCCTCACAAAGAAGCAGGTGACTAAGACAGTGTCAACCAGTAACTAGCCGAGACATTTGTCTGCAGTTTGGTGCTACACCCCTCTCAGAAGAGCTGGGCAAGTCCAATAATCACCTGCAGGGAAGATTTCTGCCTCCTTTGTGAACCAATGAGGGCACTTAGCAGAGGGCAGCAGGACAGGCTGCAGGGTGTTCCCTGTCAGGAGCTCCAGGGCTTTGTTGATGATTTTAGAGGAACTCCACGGATGAGCCTTGCTGGCTACTATTGCACCATGATCCTTCTTCTGAAAGGGAAGAGATAGCCAGTGAGAACAGGGGAGAAGGTGTGTTCTGAGGAGATTTTAAAAGCAGGAAAATAAGCAGCTTTCTTGCTTACAGAAAGAAATCAAGCATGAAGTCAGTTTTAAATACTTTGAACACACTGGCAACTCCATGAGCATGCGAAAGAGGCTAGCAATAAGTGAAGTAACAAGAAAGAGGATATAAATAAATAACCAAGTATTAAGGATAATAGCAAATCTCTACAAACTTTAAAGAGACTGCTTCTCTTGAAGTACATATAAAGCATACAAAGCTAATCAGCCATTTAACGGACACTCCTCTAAATTAAGGGACTATGGAAAGCTGGTGTTTGGAGATAAATGGATTTTCTTTCTTTCAAATGTTTGTACATTTAGGAAAGATGCAGCTGGTCTTTGTTTTCTTGAAAATAAATCATTCGGAGACATTACTCTTCTACCAGCAGTGAAATTTAGAGGAAAACACAAGCAAATAAAACCTGGTGAACACACATTATGCTAACTGCAGTTGAGAAGGGTTTGGTCTAGGGGTTGGCCTTTTCAAGCAATTTCTTTCAGACCAACTTTTCATAAGTTTTGACTGCTAAAACAATGTGTCAGAAGGCTCATTGCATCCAGCTATTATATATACTGCAAATCTGATTTATTTATACTTTGTGTGCGTTATAAATCTTACAGACAAACTGCTTTTACACCATGACTATAGAAATCCTACTCTACGCTACTCTTTGAAACTTGCTTTCAAGCCAGTCACAGCAAAAATCTCCTTTAGTATCACATGTTGTATAACATGCTTTAAACACCTGAGAATACACATCTGAAAGCATCTTGCAAAAGTTGAAGTTCAGACCCCAAGCCCGGTGTTGCAATTACTTGTGCACTGCTTAGAAAATGGCAAGCTCACCTCAGGTTTCCTGTCCTCACTCTCCTCTGCTTCTGGAATAGTCTCAAGCACCTCAGCTAAGAACGTGCTCCTAAGAATTGTACGAGAATCAGCAGCTGCTATTTTCTTATTTCACAGCCATCTGTCTTCATGCATTTTTAATGAATCATTTTTGTTATTCATTCACACAGAAGTTGTACTTAATGTGTTATTTGTAGATTACCCCATTATCAAGTCAACATATTCACTGCTGAGAAGATAACCAACATGACAAGATCTTTAATGCAGCATGCATGCTCTATTTCACACATGAGGAATAATACCAGGACTTTTTGGTGGAAAGAAGGACAAACCTTTCACAACTGCATTATCTTTCCCAGCAGTTTGATTTCACACACCTAAGTAAATCTCTTCAGAAACCATCCAAATAGACTCAAAGATATTTACAACTACATCTGAGAAAAGCAGAACTCCAAATCCTTGTTATTTACACACACTTTTACCCCATTAATCATCTCAAGAAGTTCACATACATGCAAATTCAGGACAGGATCAACCCCCACTGAGCAATGCAGGCTGAAAAATGAATTCACCTTGGTGATTCACGTTTTAATTACAGAGAGATTTTTGTGTCACAAATGCTCACTTCATGAAATTTATAACTAGTGGAAGCCTTAAGCAGTGGGAGGCATAGAGTGAGTAGAGGCTGAAAAAGATAGAGAGAGAAAAAGAGGAGACTCAGTTGAGAGTGAAGGCTCAAATCATACATGAAATCAAAAGATCTTAGAGGCTGGAGAAATGGCAGGTCTGTAGGAGCCAGCAGGAAAAGTGTGAATGCGTTTTTAATCTCCCAAGGCACAATGAGTGGAAGTCAAAAAAGGATGGAAGCTCCAATGGAGAGTAGAGGCCAAGAAGAGAATTGAGGCCATTGGGAAATGGAGGCAAAAGTTAGAAGGCAAAAAAAAAAAAAGTGGAAGGTTGAGTGGGGCATGAGGTTCAAAAAGGCTGGGATACCCATGGCTGAAACAGCATGAGCAGTGGCAAAAAGGGTGGGAATCTCTGAGTGAATGGAAACTAAAAGTAGTGGGAGGCCAAGAAGAGTGGAGGTTCAAAGAGCAGGAGAAGCAGGGAGCAGTAGAGTCTGAAAAGAGAGTAATTGTTCTTGGTGTAGTCAAGCCAGCTTTTGTGGTCCAGTATTTACGGATTTATAATTCATGAGTTTAAATGTATGATATCAGACAAATTTCCATGTAATATCTTCCTATGACAGAGCTCCCATTTTAATCATGACTTCTAAGATAGGAGAGAGGAAAATGGCAAACACATCAGTACGATATATCAAAACTTTACTAGTGCAATAACAGCCATGGGTTTATGAACCATTGGCTAAAACAAACAACAAAAATTAGATTGTTTGGCTGTGGATGCTGGAATGTAATAGATGGCTCCTGAGCTGGGGAACTGAGCACAGGCTGCAGTGATTAATGCTTGAATGCATTAAAAAGCTTGATGGTGTAAAAACCATTGAACAGAAGAGAGCATATGGCATACAAACAAAACTAAAACAACCATAAATAACATAGGCACCCTTAAAAAGATTTACAAATATACATTCCACATATAAATCTCTTTGCAGTTATATCAGAAAGACAACTTGCATTTCCTTAGATGAATCATACAGATTTATCCAGTCATCATCATCATACAGTCGCAAGTAATAAGATAATGGAGGAAGAAAAACATAGAAATGAGTTTCATTCATAGCTTCAGAAGGTCCTGTTTTCTGGACAGTCACAGCATTTAAGGCCATGCCTGCATTGCGGCTTAGAAGTTTTTCCATGGAAAATGTTTCATGTGCTGAGCACTAAGCAGCATGGGGATTCTCACAGGCAGAAGAACACAGTCTGACATCTACTCCTAAGAAACAAATATGAGATTTTTGCATTCTGGCAAGTCCAATTTCACCAGCAGTTTTCAGTCAGGCAAGAAATAGTTGCTTCTTCATTGTTCAGCTTCATCCGAGGACAGAACTTGCTGGAGGATGCCTTCCACTAACATGATAATACCTGCTGTTCTCCGTTCCAGTCTGGTAGCCAAATAGCACAGCTAAATAGGGAAGTACTGGGCCAAATCTTCCTGTCAATGCTCTAGAGATTAAATCAAAGGCTGTGAAAATTTGTCTAGCAGTTAAACACAATTGAGTGCATTTTTCCAGCCCTACGTGCCACTGCCAAGCACCACGTATTCCTTAATTTGATTTTAAATTTTAAAATCTTTAGAATCTTGACATGAATCAATCCATGAGCTGAAGTGCAGAAGGCATATCACAGCTTTCTCTGTATGCTCCAAGTTTGCTCTGTGAAAGTCAGGCCAACTTCAAAATGAAAATCATTGGAAAAGAGCGTGAGTGGAGCTGAACCTTATGCTACATTGCTTGTAACATGGAGAACCCTGGAAAAGCAGAGAATTCAGGATGCGGCACATCACAAAGCAAAGAATAACATTCCCCTAGCTCAAGTCACACACTGAGGGCACATCCTCTTTGCTGGCATCTGTGGCCAAAGACGTGGTTTTTGGCTGCTACACATCACAGGGGGCTACAGTTAAAAGCCACAGGGCAATGTTGAGACCACATAGTTGGCCTGTATCATAAGAGCAGCTAGGAAGGTAGAGTTTTGTACAAAGACTTTACACATTTGCCCCATCCATCCACATCGGGCACTCTGTAATTTCACCAGTAACAAATGATGCCTGAAGCCCAAATTCTGTGTAGTCCTAGTGCTTCCATATAATTTGTGGAGTTCACACCTGTTTCTGAAAACAAAAGGGGCCAAAGTCTCACTTGAAGCCTGAGGACTTGGCTCATAAACACAAAACCACATAAGAATAAAGCCTCAGGATTTTTGCTTATTTTATTGCTACAAATGCTAAGTTTAAAATTAATACCAACCAGAGTAAAGTGGGATAAGAAATAAAAGAAACATTCACTGCCTTAGATACAGGTCTATGTCCCTAACATTTCCATATCAAGGCAGTGTTGTCTCTGCTTTAGCAGCAGGCAAGCATAAAACATGCTCTTATTGAAAACACCATGAATTTTTCTGTCCTTTTAAACTTATCTGTGGAAGGTTGCATAATATAAAAAAAAAATAGAGAAAGAGAATTGAAGACTTTCTTTCTATATAAAGCAATTACCATGGCTGTCAGCAAGAACAAGATTTACTTAAATGGAAAGGGTAAAGAGAAAGGAATGTTCCAAGCAGTTCTGAGAGGAAAAAAAAGGCAAGGTTGCAATACTTTCTGAATCCCAAATTTAATAGAGGCCATAGAGATGTAGGGTAGCCTATATAACCCCAGTTACATTGTAAGTCTCTTTCTGTACAGGTAATCTCATCAAAATTAGGACAGCTACCCAGGGATGTATGGCTCTTCAGAAGATACTTGCCTGACAGAAGCTGTGTGACCACAGAAACATTGCTGTGCAATTCTGAGGTTGTCCCAGACAGTCAACTCCTAACTGGAAGCTGTTACAGGAAGTCTTACAGAGACATCTCGGAAAATTGTACTGAATCTAAACACTCCAAGAGGGGAGCCACAAGTTTCCCCAGTGTTGCCACCATGCCAGTGAGGTTTACCAGACAGCCCAGGTAAAGCAGAGCACAAGCAGTGTGTTCTTATGCAGTGTTATTACCCAAGGAGGTCAAAGGGAAACTGTTACTCTAACTCATTCAAAGCACCTTTGATTCTGGGTGACTGAAAAAAACAAAGAAAAAAAATCGATTGCTACATCACAGCCTGAAAACTTTAAAATGTCCATAGACTGCACTTTGAAGTAACACTATTTACAAGATAAGCTCTTTCTACGGTTTTAATCATGGCACCAATATAACAAATAATCAAAGTCTCATTCAAATCTTACTGCACTTGAAATTGAGGTATAACTAATAATATGAAATAAAGGTAATTGCTGGAAAGATTTCTTATGCTTAAAACATAAAGGAGTAAAACATAAGGAGTAAAACACTCCTGGCTGGAGAAAGTGTCTTCCAGGGTATTTCTCAGCCTGTTTAAGCTGCAGCACCCATACTGGACAGCTGCTGAGGCTCTGACAAACTCCTATGTAATCACTAGCTTTTCACAGTGTAAGACTTTCTTAATAGTTTCTTAGACTTTAATAAGTCTATTAAAGACCTTAAGATTATCTTCAAAATGGTAAGAGATAAAAAAAAAAAAAAAGAGATACCAAAAAACCCACAGTTTTTACATGAAAAGACAGTCAGCATTGCCAACCTGCAGAAAGCAGAGCAAACAAAACAGTGAGCAAAGAGGCCCATGACAAACTCCTAAAGTAGGCAAATGCAATGGAAGTCTCAGCCTAACAAACTGCTTGCTAAGAGTGAAAAAAAAGAACAGTTAGGGATTCATTCCATGTAGCATGCAAGCTGTAAGAGCCCTTAACTCTGAATTGTTAGTTATTGCAGTGTTGCTGGTATCCATGATTTCAAATTCTCAGCTAACCCAGACAACAGATCCCTGAAGACAAACTTGAATCCTTACCACAGAACATACTCAGTGCCTGTACAGCCAGCAGGAAAAGTTAGTTTCTGAAGTAGAAACGCAGGTTTTATCTTAACCACTTTTAAATTGCTAAGCTACTGTTATAAAAGATTACACTTAAATATTTACACCTCTACTAAACATTTGTATTTCATATTCCTGCTTGAAGCAGGTTTTTATTGCTGAGTTGTAATTGCCTGAAATTAGCACCTTTCCCTAAAAATGCTGACAGATCATTCATTGTAGCAGCGCTGCCAGGCACAAAACACAGCTATGACACTAATACCAGTCTGTTTAAACAGGAAATCAAAGGAAATGGAGCTCTGGATATTAGTATCAGCCAGCAAGCCCTACAGCAGTCTGTCCCCTTTGCAGGCATAGGAACCTCACTATGCTGATCAGTTCAACTGCCAAAGGAGGCCAATGAGCCCACCAGCTTACACTGCCTGAAAAGCTATCTGCCATGGCTTGCATTGCTACTGTGTGCCCTGTTCCTGATCTGTAGCACCAGTGTTGTTGTCAGGGGACAGCAGATCAGCAAAAGGCCAGAATTCAACTCGGTGCCACAGATGAATCAAACATCCTTCCAAGAACAATTTCACTGACTGCTTTCAAAATAATAACAGTGACACGATCACCTTGGTCTGCCACCAGCAGATTGTTTTGTGGGTGTTCATTTCTTTCTCCTTGATTCATTACACAAAAGCAGCCAACATGAGGCATCTCTTGTCCCAGAATAAACAGAGGGATGAAGGGAACTAAGAAAAGGAAGGAGATGGTATTGGATGCTAAGCTACTTCAGTCTTTTGTTGTGGTTTCAGCTGGGATAGAGTTAATTTTCTTTGTAGAGGCTTGTATGATGTTGTGTTTTGGATTTTTGATGAAAATAAGGGTGATAGCACACGTTTTTGTTATTGCCAAGTGGCACTTATGCAGAGCCAAGGATTTTTCTACTTCTCATGCTGCCCTGCCCACGAGCAGGCTGGGGGTGCACAAAGAGCTGGGAGGGGACACAGCCAGGACTCAGACTGACTCAAGATGCGGTCCATACCATATGGCATCATGCTCAGCAACAAAAGCTGCAGTAAAGAAGGAGAAAGTGAGGAAGACGACATTCAGAGTGATGGCATTTGTCTTCCAAAGAAACCATTACCCATAAGCTCCTTTTTCCTAGGAGCAGCTGAACACCTGCCTGCCAATGGGGAATTCCTGGTGAACAAATTGCCAGTTGTGCCTTGCTTGTGAATGCAGCTTCTGCTTAACAAGTGAACTCTCCATCTCACCAACCCATGAGCTCTCACACTTTTATCTTTCTTATTCCCTCCTCCATTCCACCTGAGGAGAGCAAAATACTGTGCAGTGCTGAGCTGCCTATTGAGTTAAACAGCCTTTATACTTCTCTGATTTCAAATTTTACTTGTATTTCTTTTCTTTCAAAAAAAAAAAAAATGACAGCAGAAATATAAAAAAATGAAGTTTCAAATGCACTGATATATAAAAAAAAATATATACTTTTACATGCAGAAAAGTCCTTGACTCTGTGATTTCCCCTTCAAACCCAAGATATTTCAAGTAGACAACTTCGTAAAATTAGAGACATAGCATTCATTTCTTCTGGCCCTTTCATAGTGGCCCTGAAGTCCAAACAGGCACACAGGAACCTCCAGCAAAATCCCCTTGCCTCCACTGCCAATCCTTGAATGAGGTCTGGGAAGGGGTGCATCCTGGCTCTACCCTTTCCATCACTCAGGCACATTGCACCTGAGCTCCCTGGGATGACCCTGCCTTCCCACCAGGTGCCCAGTCTCCATTCCAAACCACAACTCAGCATTTCCACTACAGTCTGACAACATTTACTGCACTGCTTGGAGAGTCAAAATAATTGCATACATCTCCTTGAGAAGCACCAAAACTAGAACAATGTCTGCGCTGATTGCTACCATGATCAGCAATACTGGCATGCTACTCTGTGGCACGCTGCCCAACCACAAGTTCCCAAGCAGCCCACCTGTTACATAGCACAATGTCTCTTTCCCACAGGTGGACAGAGGCACAAGGAGCCCAGCAGTGAGGCTCTCAAAAGGCTCTTAGCATTGATGTAACCCCAGCTCCTTTTGATTTCAAGCAGAGCAGAATCATGTCAGCACTGAGAGTTCCTTTGGTAATCCAGGCCTGAACTCAGCAAGTACTGACAAACTCAGTATAGGATCTTAACAACTGTGAATCTTTTTTTGTTTTCAAGTAATAACATGCAGAAGAGCTTTTTTATTCTCAATGGTTCATTCTGCATCATTTTTTCCAAATGCTTGGATTAACCTCCTGATTGGTTCTAATCCAATTGCAGGCCAAAATGCAACATATAACCCTGTAACACACAGCACTGTTTTATAAGGAACAGACTTCCTGACCAGTAATCTTAGAGTTCAACATCTGCTTTTAACAAAGTTTCGTGTAAAATATCTGGTGAAAAAAGCCTCATCAATATCTGGTGAAAAAAGCCTCTACTTCAGCTCATCAATTTGCTTTTCAGCCACACTGAAGTTTAGTATCAGGGTTCATCGATTTTTCAGCTTTCAAAAGAAGCTCTCAAAGAAATCCATCCTTTGCCTAAACCCTTCAAGTTACAACATGCTCACCGCCTGCTTAACTTTTACACAGGCAGCCTGGGCTCAGCAGGGAACAGCCTGTTGCAGACAAGATTTCAGTACAATTGCAAGGGAAAATGCTACAACTTAATCTGAAGTGGGAAGTGGGAAATATAAAAAAGACCTTCTGAAAATCAAGTTTATAGTCTTTATCAACATACTGCATGTACAGGCACCTGTGTGCTTGCACACATGAAGTGCTATGGACTTGCTTCATGGTGCCAGTTGTAACTGAGGGGAATTTGTCTATTAGCAGGACTCCTCAACATATTTCTGCAGAGTTGTACTGTAACAGTACAGTAATTATATATGACAATGTTATATATTGTTGAAGGCACGCAACACTGCCTCACTGCCCAGTATTTTGCTAATAACCCAATGAAAAATTGTGTGATCACAGAGTGACAAAAAGCGAACCACGAAGGCCTGAAAAATATTGGCAAATACCGACCTTCCCTCATGCTCCTCCCTGACCAGTGGCAGATAATCCACACTGTAGTTATTAACAAAGACAGCCTTATGAGCTTGATATGGTCAGATGATTTAGCACCTCCAGGTAAAACCTTTATACTGCATCTGAGTTTACTACCCACTAGCGACCCCACTTTTTTATCAGTTGGAAGAGGATAAATTAGACCTTCCATGTAAATTTTATGTTCTGTCACCTAGATTTATGATCGTAGATGCACCTACTGCATTCAAAGAGGAAAAGCTGTTTTAAATGACTTAGAAATAACCACAAATCCCAGTGCATGTAAAAATCATATATCCCAATTCAGGCCAGAGAAAACTGGATGGTTCAATAGAGTGCACCTGAGGAAACCCTGATACACTGCTATAGCAATCGAGTTCATGTGGAAGAAATTACCTTATCACAAATGGCCTTTGTATTTCAGGCTGGCACGAGTCCAAACAATCATTTTTCATTAAGGGGAAAACAGCTTAACATTAAATATCATTTTTAAGGAAGCTAATCATGTAGTACACAGCCCTTCAGTAACAATAGCGCTGAGTCTCGTAAGTTTCAGTCTACAGCAGCACTGGAAATAAAATGCTGCAGAAATACCGACTGCAGGATTTGTATATAAAGAGCTCTACTATTAAGAGTGAAAGTGACTAGGTTAAAAATCACAAACTGTCTCCCTAAGCAGGTACTTAGATATTGCATTTTAAAGAGCCTAGTACAGATGCCGATGCATTTGTAAATATGGTGACTATAACAACTTCAGCCACTAAAGATGAAACCAAACTACCTTTCATTTCAGAATATGACCTGCATATCTTCCTCCACGGCCCCGCATTTGTGAAGACTCCAAAACAGGGTATTTTGATCAGCTGGCTGGTTTACCTACTAACGGGTTAATAAAAGGAGTAGCACACGGCTTTTTTCCCTTCCCCTTGCATTGCAGTGCCAACATTTTCCATATAAGGAATAAAAAATGGGACAAGTGACAGTTGTAATGGGATGGACAGGTGTCTGATTACAGATAATATTGCCATTGTTTACCAAGCCACATCTGAGCTTCCTACAAATGAGAAGGTAAAAAACCAGCTAAGCTGTTTGTAATTTAGAAAGACAGATCTTTGTTAAAAGAGAACTCTTACCTCTACATTTAACCAGGATGGTTAAACGAACAGTAAGGCAGTTTAGTGTGCAATGTTATCAATCTTACATCAAATAAGCTCTCAGAACTTTTACTAAAAATCACTATTTATACATAAGATTTTCAGAAATTGAATAAAGAAAAAATATTGCTTAAAATGAGTCACATGAAACACGAACTGAAGCATCATCTATTATATATATATAGACACACTTAACATATGAGGGCTAATCTGAACATAATGCCTTCTTTATTATGCTGCACACAATGTCAAGGCAGATATCGATGGTATGGCAGCATACATCTAGCTCTACCCTGGTATGGTTGAACCTTCCTACCAATATTCAGTTAAATTTTGACACCATGCAAGAGATGGCAGCGGGGCAGTCTGACAGAACAGCATTTGACATGGAAGTACACATGAAGCAAAGGTGTGCCACTGAATTCCTACATGTGACAAAAATGGTGCCTGCTGGCATTCACCGATGCTCGCTGAAGGTTTGTGGTGACCAGAGCATGTTAGCACAGTGAGGCAGTCAGTAACTCATTTCAGCAGTGGCAACAGCAGGTCACATCTGCTGGTACAGATTTTTATTTGTTTAATTCACAAGCACAGTATACAGTTTCTCTCTCATTGCTGGTGAAAGTGCACCGCTAATGGTGGTGATTATGTTGAAAAACTGTTTGCTGTATCCAATAGTGCTATTGCACGCTAAATTTGTTGTCGTTTCCATGGGAAGAAACAGAAAACAACTTTCAGAGCAACCTACATAATACCCCAAAAGCATATATTAGCAA